GAATATTTTAATTTTATATTTATGGTATCACTTCGCAAAACCCTGGAATGTTGTGATGGACAAATCGGAACTACATTTGCGAACCTTTCCCTTAAAGGATTTAGATTGTTGAAGTATTTTGAATCCTCAAATATACTAATTTTCTAAATTTCGCTAGTTAGTTATTTAGTTAGTTAGTTAGTCAGTTAGTTAGTTAGTTAGTTAGTTAGTTAGTTAGTTAGTTAGTTAGTTAGTTAGTTAGTTAGTTAGTTAGTTAGTTAGTTAGTTAGTTAGTTAGTTAGTTAGTTAGTTAGTTAGTTAGTTAGTTAGTTAGTTAGTTAGTTAGTTAGTTAGTTAGTTAGTTAGTTAGTTAGTTAGTTAGTTAGTTAGTTAGTTAGTTAGTTAGTTAGTTAGTTAGTTAGTTAGTTAGTTAGTTAGTTAGTTAGTTAGTTAGTAGTTAGTTAGTTAGTTAGTTAGTTAGTTAGTTAGTTAGTTAGTTAGTTAGTTAGTTAGTTAGTTAGTTAGTTAGTTAGTTAGTTAGTTAGTTAGTAGTTAGTTAGTTAGTTAGTTAGTTAGTTAGTTAGTTAGTTAGTTAGTTAGTTAGTTAGTTAGTTAGTTAGTTAGTTAGTTAGTTAGTTAGTTAGTTAGTTAGTTAGTTAGTTAGTTAGTTAGTTAGTTAGTTAGTTAGTTAGTTAGTTAGTTAGTTAGTTAGTTAGTTAGTTAGTTAGTTAGTTAGTTAGTTAGTTAGTTAGTTAGTTAGTTAGTTAGTTAGTTAGTTAGTTAGTTAGTAGTTAGTTAGTTAGTTAGTTAGTTAGTTAGTTAGTTAGTTAGTTAGTTAGTTAGTTAGTTAGTTAGTTAGTTAGTTAGTTAGTTAGTTAGTTAGTTAGTTAGTTAGTTAGTTAGTTAGTTAGTTAGTTAGTTAGTTAGTTAGTTAGTTAGTTAGTTAGTTAGTTAGTTAGTTAGTTAGTTAGTTAGTTAGTTAGTTAGTAGTTAGTTAGTTAGTTAGTTAGTTAGTTAGTTAGTTAGTTAGTTAGTTAGTAGTTAGTTAGTTAGTTAGTTAGTTAGTTAGTTAGTTAGTTAGTTAGTTAGTTAGTTAGTTAGTTAGTTAGTTAGTTAGTTAGTTAGTTAGTTAGTTAGTTAGTTAGTTAGTTAGTTAGTTAGTTAGTTAGTTAGTTAGTTAGTAGTTAGTTAGTTAGTTAGTTAGTTAGTTAGTTAGTTAGTTAGTAGTTAGTTAGTTAGTTAGTTAGTAGTAGTTAGTTAGTTAGTTAGTTAGTAGTTAGTTAGTTAGTTAGTTAGTTTGTGGGTTAGTGGGTAAACTTATTGATATGCTTAAAGATGAGATCAATATTTTTGGGTGTTACAAACATCAGCACAAACACATAATACCCTCCCCACTATTGTGGTGTAGGGTATAAAGATTTTATCCAAAATTTAGGAAAATAACGATATTCTCCCTTGGTAAAACATCATTTGTATCTAAATACGACCTATTCGCGTTGTATAAAGTACCACAACTACTGCTCTGGTTAAAAAGTTAATGTTTTAATTCTATCCCTCTAATTAAGACAATACTTCTTGGACTCCAGCATAGCAAACTTACAAACATCTTGCAATCAGTCCTAGACAGATATTGTAATAAACAAATCTTTATTTTAAGAAATCATTCTCTATGAATTCTTATAATTTTCACTAACAATAGTAACCATAAGAAGGCGTCTATAGTTTTTAAGTATTTTATGATTATCTTCTGTCACTTAACGAGAGACCACATGTTGCTGTGAGAGTCTGTCAGTCCAGCTGTATGTCTGTCTTTCTGTCAACAAGTTGTTTACAACATCACTTGTTATAGTGTTATCGATAAGAAGTGTACTTTGTGAGAACAATAGAAAAAGTGAAATGTAATTTTGTGTAAATTTTGTAAGGATTAAGAAAAATTTCCATTGTAGACACACACACATACACACTCACACAATCTATGTTCTTATGTATAAATATTTTAGTTGTCACAGTGTGAAATTCTGTGTGTTTTTGTGCTAATTTGAGATTGTAAAATATGGCTATGGTTTTACTTCACTTTAAATATCAATAATTCTATAAACTATTTATTAGAAGAAATTCATTTTATGATCGTGAATCTTTAAGTGTAGTGTGACATACTGAAAATTTGGGTTCTTTATAAATTTTGGTAATCTAGTAAATTTATCAAGCGATTTCAATCGGCTTTATCCAAATTCCATTGTTACATTAAACAGATTAATATACCTAAAGATGGTTATAGAACCAATATTTCTATGTATTACCAATATCATTACAAAATAGAATACAATAACACATGTATTATCCGCAGTTAATGCCTGAGACTTTATCAGTAACTAATAAAACACTAATAATAATAATGACATTAGCAACAATGTAATAACAACAAATATAATTTAAATAATAGACAAAAGAAATATCAGAACAACAACAATTAATAGACAAGTGAATCAAAACAACTATTAAATATAATAAAGAGCTGCCACTTTAAGAGCATTTAACTAAAACTAAAGAGAAATTAATAAATCGAACTATCAAAATAAAACAATAGGGTTCTATTTATATATTAAAAAAAAAGTTACAAAAAGGATAATTTATAGCTCTAAATAAAGATTGTTTGCAAATAAAAAAATGTGCAGATCAAGTACTTATAATCTTTAATTTAATATTAAACTGTTGAACTGAGAGATATCCACTCACTAACATAGGCATATTCTCCATTGATTTTTCTTTTTTAAATCATATAATTTTTTGCCGGTATTTGTTGGAATCGAAGAGTCGACTCAATATCAGCAAGATGTAAATAATCCATTAATAATATTATGCTCTTTCTTTGAAGCCACTGCTGCTTCTCTTTGTTTGTAAGTTAATACTGTGTTGTCCGACCTATAGAATGCACTATAGTTAAGACTATAGAATGCTCTATATAATAAAGACTATAGATTGCTCTATAGTTAAGACTATAGACTGTTCTATTATCAAGACTATAGACAGTTCTATAGTCAAGACTATAGATAGTTCTATAGTCAAGACTATAGACAGTTCTATAGTCAAGACTATAGACAGTTCTATAGTCAAGATTATAGACAGTTCTATAGTCAAGACTATAGACAGTTCTATAGTCAAGACTAAAGTCAAGACCATGATTGCTCTATAGTCAATACTATAGATTGCTCTATAGTCAAGGCTATAAATTGCTCTATAGTCAAGACTACAGATTGCTCTATAGTTAATACTCAAGACTATAGACTGTAGTCAGGACTATTGATTGCTCTATAGTTAAGACTATAGATTGCTCTATAATCAGGACTATAGATTGCTCCATAGTCGAGACTATAGATTGCTCTATAGTGAAGAATATATAGATTGCTCTATAGTCAAGAATATAGATTGTCCTATAGTCAAGACTATAGATTGCTCTATAGTATAGACTACAGATTGCTCTATAGTCAGGACTATAGATTGCTCCATAGTCAATACTATTAATTGCTCTTTAATAAAGACTATACACTGTTCTATAGTTCAGACTGTAGACTGTTCTATAGTCAACACTATAGGCTGTTCTATAGTCAACACTATAGACTGTTCTATAGTCAACACTATAGATTGCTCTATAGTCAAGACTATGATTGCTCTATAGTCAAGACTATAGATTGCTCTATAGTCAAGACTAGAGATTGCTCTATAGTCAAGACTATAGATTGCTCTATAGTCAAGATTATAGACTGCTCTATAGTCAAGACTATAGACTGCTCTATAGTCAAGACTATAGATTGCTCTATAGTCAGGACTATTAACTGTTCTATAGTCAAGATTATTGACTGTTCTATAGTCAAGACTATTGACTGTTCTACAGTCAAGGCTATTGAGTGCTCTATAGTCAAAACTATAGACTAGTTTATAGCTAAGACTGTAGACTACTTTATTGTCAAGACTATAGACTGCTCTATAGCCAAGACCATAGATTGCTCTATAGTCATATCTATATACTTCTCTATAGCAAAGACTGCTCAATTCTCTGAGCAGTCGAGACTATAGACAGACCTATAAGCAAGACTAGAAACTGGTCAATAGTCAAGACTACAGACTTCTCTATTGTCAAAACTATAGATTATAGACCGCTCTATTGGCAAGACTATATATTGCTCCATAGCTAATACTATAGACTATTCTATTGTCAAGACTATAGAGTGTTCTATAGTCAAGATAGTAGACTGTTCTATATATAAGACTATTGGTTGATTTATGGTCAAAACTATAGACTATTTTATAGTCAAGACTATGCACTGCTCTAAAGTCGAGACTATAGACTGATCTATGGTTAAGACTATAGACTGATCTATAGTCAAGACTATAGGCTGATTTATAATCAAGACTATAGACTGATCTATAGTCAAGACTACAGACTGCTCTATATATAGTTAAGACTGCAGATCTCTCAGATGTATATGTGGGTACGAGTTGAAATCACGAACTGGTCACAGCTAGTTTTAGTGGCAACGAATAACTATTTATGTCCTAAAAATATTGAGAAAGAGAGAGAGACAAGGATCTCTCTTCGTTCACTTAATAGGCCCGCTGTCAATCTGGGTTTGCCCACTTATGTTACAGAGTAAACGTAAATATTACTGATACCAATTCACGCGATAATTTTGTGTGTGTGAAAATACCAACAACAAATTGTTTAAAACAAAAACGCACCAAAGACAGCACCAGAAGTACAAAAAAGAAGAAACAAGTCACTCACTTATACGCTCACCAAACCGATTCACTTAACACCAAACAACAACAACAACAATATCGATAACACCAGGAGAATTTGCTGTGTGAGTGTAGAGCGTGTGACAGCTAGCAGCGAGACATCCAGCAAGTAAAGCGAATATGAGCAGCAGAAAAGTAAACAGAAAGAAAAACCGGAGGGAAACCCGTCAGTGGTGCGACGTAAACGGATCACAGATCAACGTTTTATATAAAAGCATTGTAGCCGCCTTCATTACAAATCAGTCGGTCTAAGAACGTTTCTGCAACGAGAACTGTCATTGTAACGCATAGAACAAGTCTTCTGTGTGTGTGTGTCTGTCTCGTCGTTCACTTGTTATTGTTGTTTTTTTTATTTATAATTTATTGTTGTTATTCTCGATTCTCGTATCTGTTCGAAAAAAAAAGTTAAAGGAAAAATATAGTAGATGAAAATTCTGTCAGTGCGTTGTCGGTGATTGTTGTGTGTGCATGTGTGAATATTAACAAAAAAAAGTGTATATTTAAAAAAAACAAAATAAATATTGTATACTTCAGTTACAATTTAAGTAGTAGATATAGTTAGGATTGTTGTTATTTAGTAGATAAGCCTAACCAGAGATAGTTGGTTGTTGCATCTTACTGCTCTACGAAACAAAAATATAAAATAATATTTTGTCACTCTGGAATATAAAAAAAAATATATAAAAAAAGAAAAAATTTCCTGAAGATTAAATAAAATCCAACTGTTGATATTGCTTGACGTGCCTGAATTTTTAACAAAAAAAAAAATTTTATATTGTGCGACGTTTAAATTTTTTTAAAAAAAAGAGTTCACACAATTTTATAAATAAATTACAAAATATAAAAAAAATAAACCAAAAATTAAGTATACATAAAAATATAAAGTGAATGTTTAAATTTGTGGAAAAAAATTTAATTTAAAATATATAACAAAATTTTATAACATCTAAGACATTTTCCAAAAGTCTTTACGGAAAAAAGGAAAATCTCAAAAAGTATTTGCTGCTTAAAGGAAAATTTTGTTTAAAACTCAACTCAACTTTAAGTTCCTTGTTTAAAACCGCAAAACTGGCTCAACCTAAGACCAATATGGTTAAAAATCGTAGATTTGATGAGGGTAAGTTCTTGCTTAAACTTAATAGAATTAAAGTGTTGGGGTTAATTTTCTTTATGAATTTTCCCAATTGGAGTTTTTCAAAACACGTGTTTTTTCTTCTTTTCTTTTTTGTTTAATACTTCTTTCTTTATTATCGGCCGGAGTAGTGCGTTTTAATATATAATAATAAAAACAAAACAAAAACAAAATTAAACATTTAAAAATTCATATCAACATGTGGTTGTTAAATACTTGTTCTTATAAATACACAAGTACATATGTTTGTTGTTTTAATTTAATTTAAACATTTTGTTTTTATACCCTATGTATGGTATATATAGTAAAGTACAGTTGTTTGTTACTTACTAGATTTCTTTAATTTACTGATTACTCATGTCAACAATAGTTTAAAAATTCGAAAACCCATAGTCCAAAGACTGAGTCTGTATCTGGCCTCGAAATATCGTGTCCAATATAAAACTAAGAAACTCCATTTTGTCCCTATACATTGAAATATTGGTCATAGACCCATAAAAGTATACATGTATTCACCAAAGTTCCGAATCTGATATAAAATTTTCCAAAAACTTTCTCTGTTGATAAGATTTGATAATGTTCAATATAGGTCCAAGATATATTTACCCCAAAATTATAATGTCGCTCAAGATCCCCTTTAGAAAATTACTTTAACTTTCAGAACTGACTTAAAAATCCTAAGGGAGCAATAAATAGAACTCTACACTAACGGTACATAATTAACCCAATCCCCCCGAATCTAAACTTATATCTCTCTCAAATAGGTATTAAGAGGATTTTGAAAAACCCAGTTTAGCACCATATGACAGCGCAAAGTCAACATAATTTTCAAAAGTTGTTATGTTGTCTGAAAGTTATATCCAATGGCTTCCATATATAAGTTTTAACCTCTAAAATATATGGATAATTCTTAAAGATATCTTAATGTAAAGATTGAAACAATAATCATCTATATTATCTCTATATATTGCGTAGCTCAATTCTTAAGTAAGGTATACTTTGGATTTAAGGTTAAAGATCTGTTCTCATGAACTCTATCGTAGCATCTATTAAGAGTCCTATTCCGATAATAATCCTGATCTTAGTAATTTCATTGATATATACATATCTAATGAATAATTAAACCATGTCAAGAAATAGAGAAAATGTCGGACCATAAAGATCTAAGTTCAGTTGTATGGCCGCTTTTCCGAAGCATAAATGCCGAAAGGACTACAAAGTCGTATATTTAAAAAAATATTAGCCCCAGTTGACCAAATTAGGCGATTCACTACCCCTTCATCCCATTTACGAAGCAGAAGAACTGTAGGGTTAGGTTAGGTTGATAGGAGGATGTACATCAATTCCGAAGAAATACATCTGGGCCACTATCAGGCCTGTTGTGTCAATGTTCAGAAACTCAGTTTTCTGAACGTAATTCCTAAGTATTTCCTAATCAGTGTTACTCAGGAATGTTATTTCCGGAATAACATCACTTCCAAGATACTTTGATATAACTTCGCCGAATGCCTTACAGTGGCAAAGATAGTACTCCAGAGTTTCACTGTCCTCTCCTCACGCTCTACATTCGTCAGAATCCGCACGTCCAATTTATATAAATGTGCTCGTAATCCTGTGTCTCCACTCAGAATGCGTACCATCATACTAACTTCAGACTTGCACATTTAGAGGAGATTTCTCGTCTTGCTCTCATCAGGTTCTAGCATTTTTGTGGTTTTACCCACTGATTCATTTTTCCAAGATGCCTTATGGGATTCTCTCACCCAAATTTGTAATTCACTACCTCGAACTCACTACCAACTACCTTCAGCTCTCTTCTCTTGAAAGCTATTATATTCTCCTTTCGTTACCGACTACTCCCGAGTGGCCTGGTACCCATATGATGTAAACCTTACCCCTAGTAGAGTATTCAGTTAAAGCTTTCTTACAATCCAAAACGGTTTAAGATTTAATTCTATCTCCTGATATCGCCCTAATTGCCTGATCACATACCAGACCCAGAATATGTCGGAAACTTTGAAACGCTGATCCCAGAATAGAATGTCTTGGTCAAGCGGAACATTAGATCAAATACCTGTAGGAATCCGTGGTTACACGAATGGCTCTAAATTGGTAGACAAAATGGGCCTAGGGTTCTATATTGAAGACCCAGAAACAGAAATAGACCAACGTTTACCTAATTATATATAAAGTGACACAACTCAAAAATCGATTTTGACGAAATTTGCACCAATGTTAGTACTATTGGATAGTAGGCCAGTCACACATTTTCAGCGCTATAGGTCCAGAAATGCTGGACTTAGAAGGGGTCAAAGTTGGACATTTTGGTCATACGGGGTTTTATTCAAATGCCTGGGGTTCTATATTGAAGACCCAGAAACAGAAATAGACCAACGTTTACCTAATTATATATAAAGTGACACAACTCAAAAATCGATTTTGACGAAATTTGCACCAATGTTAGTACTATTGGATAGTAGGCCAGGCACACATTTTCAGCGCTATAGGTCCAGAAATGCCGGACTTAGAAGGGGTCAAAGTTGGACATTTTGGTCATACGGGGTTTTATTCAAATGCATGTAACTTTTCACCTATTTGCCCCAGAAAAAATTGTCCAAGGGAGTTCAGATAGATATTTCTTCAATGTTTTCAAAAAATTAAAAAAAAAAAAATTTTTTAAATTTCATCAAAATCGGAAGACATCGATTTTTAAAGTTGGGTCACTTGACACGAAATGGCCCATATATATCGTGTATCTAAAGTGTATCCATAGACGGCTAAAGTGTTGGATCGATTTTCTTGAAATAATCAGTTGGTTCCTACAAGTCTGGAAAACTTTTAAGCAGTGGATGTCACGCTTACAAAATAAATGTTTAATGTCGTATGTCAGACATCAATATTAGCATAATAGAGGGCATGGCTCATTCCGTATGAAGTAAATATACAAATTCTTATATCTTGAAAAATTTTTCAAGAAACAATAAGTTTTTATGACATAAATTAGCAGACCATCAGTAGTGGGCGTGGTAGCTCCTATATGAATTAAATACTAAGATTCGTATATCTGGGAAACTATACCAGCTAAGGTCTTCAAAAACTGCACAGGAAAGGAAATCTATTAGAGCATGAGTCCTCAATTTTGATCAGTCTATAGTCTTGACTGAACTTCAGCATCCATAACAATATTTGAAAAAAATTAGTGGCTGGCCTAATAATCGGTTTTAAGTAACTCCGACATAACATTTCTGAAAGCTTATAAATACTGTATTAAGGATTATTTGAATGTTTTGCAATAAATCTTTATTTTAGTAAGATTTTCATCTAACACGTTTATGGAATTATTTATTAAATATTATATATTCAAATACTATATAGTTCTTAATTTAAAATACAAATGAGTATATATTGTTTATGCCGTAAATAAAATGTTTCAGAATTGCTAGACAAAAATGGTTGTCATATGATTTGGAAATGAAAATTTCCATAGAACAACTTGTGTGCTAGCAATGAAAATGTTTTTCAATAAATTATACTAATGCTAACAAATTTAACAAAGAAATTATGAAAATAAATCTTAGATACAAATAAATTTTATTTGTTTTAAAATGTTTTTAATAAAATTTTAAAACAATTACAAGCAAAAACTATTATATACTATTATTTCTATGTTAGCTAACATAACTTTTAGAATAAATATATGTTTCTGTTTACAAACTATTTTATCTATTCAAAACTTTTCCCTTCTCATAATAACGCTTATATAGCGGAAATAAATTTTATTTTTATTCGCTCATAAAAAGTCGGTATATAATAAAAAAAAAACAAACAAATATTTGTTTGTCTTTATTAGAATTTAATTTGTAACTCAATGTGCAAATATTTAAATAAATATTGTTTGGTGACAAACATATTTCCTATTGTAATTGTTTTACAAAATGTAAAAAATTACACTCATAAGAAAATAATGACAATTTTTTTCTGAAACGTTTGATATTGGCAGCTAATACTTCACTAATTCCTCAAAAATAAACTTTTTTTGTTATTACTTTTAAGATCCTCTACTCAAGGGGGTGTTAAAAGCCTATAAGTGATTTTATTTTAATTGTATTTATTTATACAGTGAGTGAGAAAACTTAAATGTTTAAAAAATTTATATGGATGGAAGGACATCGTTAAATCTATTTAGGAATTGATTTTAAGCCAATTGATGTAATTTACAATTGTTCAGATATTTCTGTACATTAAAAATATTAACGCTAACGTATTATCATCTTCATACTAAAGTTATATATAAATAATTGTATTGAAGAAACTTTACATTAATACAATGAAAACCTTTTAATACCAGTATACAGTATTTTTCATTAACTTTTCGTAAATTTTTCTTTAAAGGATTTTTTCTTAATAATGAAGAATTATTTCATTTGTGTTTATTTTTATAAAAATATATATATTTTGATATTTTTTGAAAGACCTCTAGTTTATTTACAGATTAATATGGATGGACGGACTTCGTTAAATCCGTATAGGAAGTGATTTTAAGATAACTGTAATAATTTAATGTAGGCTAGATATTTCTGTGTATTACAAATATTAAAGCCAACGTATTATTATCTTCACACTAAAGTTATATATAAATAATTATATTGAAGAAACTTGACATTAGTACAATGAAACCCTTTTAATACTTGTATACAGCATTTTTCATTAATTTTTCTTACATTTCTTTAAAGAATTATTCATATACATGCTAAATAATAAAGAATTTTTTCTTTTGTGTTTAGTTTTATGTAAAAAATTAATATAATTTGTTTCAAGATTAATGTGGACGGACGGACATGGCTAAATCGATAAAGAAAGTGGTTTTAAGATGGTTACTATAATTTAAAATAGAACAACTATTTCTGTATATTACAAACATTCACGCTAACGTATTATCATCTTCAAACTATAGTTATATATAAATAATTATATTGAAGAAACTT